GACAAACGAAGGAAACCTTTGGAATTCCAGGTGGGACCGAGTCCTTTGAAAGTCTCACCCTGGAAGGGCTTGATACGCTTCGGGAAGCGTGGAAAGCTAAATCCAAGATACATAGGGCCTTTCGAGATTCTCGCTAGAATCGGCCCCGTAGCTTACAAACTCAACTTACCTCGCGAACTTAGTAATGTACATCCTACCTTCCACGTCTCGAACTTGAAAAAGTGCTTATCCGATGAGACTCTTGTAATCCCACTCGAAGAGATCGAGATCAATGAGAGCCTCAACTTCGTGGAAGAACCTGTAGAGATCATGGACCGAGAGGTCAAGCGTACGAAACAAAGCCGCATCCCAATCGTGAAGGTTCGCTGGAATGCCAAGTGAGGACCGGAGTTCACTTGGGAGCGCGAGGATCAAATGAAACTTAAATATCCTCATCTCTTTACTTAGTTATTTTTGTAATAACTTAGTTGCTTGAACTCTAATTTCGGGACGAAATTCCCTCTAACGGGGGGATGATGTGACAACCCGAAATTTTCATTTGTATAAACTCTACAATCAAGAGCTACAATTAATAGTCAAATACAATTTTTAGCCGGTTTAAAGTCCGTTTGGGTGTTTTTAATTTTTAGCCGTTTAAAGTCCGTTGAGTGTTTTTAATAATTATTCTTGAAAACGAACGAATGAAAGGAAGTATACTCTAGGACTTTGGAGCAACAACAAAACAAATAACACCTTAACTAGGTGTTTACGGCCAAACTTGGGGAGTTTGGGCCGTAAACTCCTCTTGATCATGAACCCATGCATATAGCATGAGTTTACTCTTCATTCCTTCATTCTCCACTTTCAAACTCAAGGACTTCCAAGTTTTCTCTCAAGTATCATAACACATTTCTTCAAATCCTCCAAAAATGTAAGTATTCTTCCTTTGATTTGTTGATACAACACTTTATCTAGTGTTTATATACGATTTCACCCATGGAAATCTCCTCTTTTCTTAGATCTTCAAGTGTTCTTCAAAACACCAAGAACACCAAGAACACACACTAGTGTTCTTGGGCCCTAAACACTCTTACAAGCTTCCTATAAGTAAGTACACTCCTCCTAACTAGTTATTTGCTTAGTATACTTGTTAATCCATGGAAAAACACTTGGGTTTACGGTCAAGGGATCTCCTTGAACCGTAAACACCATCAAGTGGTGTTTAAGTGCCCCTAACACCTTCTAAGGCTTGGATATTGGACTAGAACCTTGCATGCATGAGCTAAAGACCCCAAATCACGAAATGGTAGGAGTGACCATGAGTTTACGGCCGTAAACTCATGGGTTTACGACCGTAAACTCCCAAGGAGTGGTCCAAGGACCGTAAACTGCAAAGAAGGTTCATTTTGAGCCCTAGTCCCTTCCTAAGCATTGAATTCAAACCTAGAGCACTTCCTTGAGGGGTATAAGACCTTAAATCACACAATGGTGCAATTTACCATGAGTTTACAGCCGTAAACTCATGGGGGAAATGACCCAAAAACCGTAAACACATGTAGGGTTACCAAATGAGAAGTAAACTCCAATGTGAGGCCATATTCTCCTTAGATGCAACCCTTTAGTACTCCTAGCACTTGAAACAAAGTGTTTCCATGTATTAGGATGTCTTTACTTGATTAATTAGTTGTTAAATGACTAATTAGATACATTTATGTATCACTACATGTTACATAGGATTCGTGTGTGTGTTCAAGTCCTCACTTGACACTTAGCATCCTATCCGGCACTTCCATCCAAACCACTCACTGCAGGTGAGTTCATACCCCTTAATTAACCTTTGAAATGATTTTACATGCTTTTATGGGGGGGGGGGGAATACAAGTTGAACATTTCTAGTTATTGCTTTAAATCACATGTGATTAATAACTAGAAAAAACAGAAAGATTTTCTATTGCTTTCAAATTTCTATCAAACATATGGATTTTCAAGTGTTCAAACCTTTTATTAAACTCTTTAAACACTAAAACTGTTTTTCAAACTCTTTAAAACTATCATTATTTTCAAACTCATATCTACACTCATATATTTATATAAGTAAGACTTGAAGGACTTAGGACTGATAGCTCACCTTATTTCCTGTTCCTTGTTTGGTTGTGGACTTAGGGTATCCTGTTATTTGTCCGAATGTCGTTGAATTCTTAGTTATATATCATATATATAATATATATATATATTATATATATATATATATATATATATGTGTTGGATATAAAAGCTTTCACTTCAGTTTAGTACCTTTGTGTAACAAAGGCATGCAAATAACATTACTATTTAACTATAATAGGTATAGTTAAGGATTACTACTCACTACTACTATTACAATGATACCTACCAGAGTCAGTACAGTTATGAGTCAATACTCACTATATACTCTACAAGAGAACACTCTATACATTATACAAGAAAACATGTTATACAATATACAAGAGAATACACTATATACTACTACAAGAAAACATTACTACACTATGGCATACTATAAAAACCTTTGATAATCAGAATGTGACATAATACTCACGTTTCCGCCGTTCCGGTTTTGGGGTGTGACAGAAACCTAGGATATAAAGAACATAGAAAACAAAGCTCGTATGCGAGAGTTATGATTTTTCGAAGATTGCAATGAATACTTGCTGAAGATGACATGTCACGTTCCGGAGACAGCCTTGCCACCTACGCAAAGGCGCATCGCGCCCACTTTTCCAGCATATATATATATATATATATATATATATATATATATATATGCCAAAATTTGCTCATTTTCTCACATAATTTTCTCCATTCTCTCTGGAGACTTCCCTAACCCTGGAGCTCCAACGAAAAGAAGTATTTGGATTCAAAGTTCTACCCGCGACTTTCCGAACTTTTGCCAGAAACTATTGTAAGTTAATCTGTACTTACTACATTTTAAGTGAAACTTATATTTATATTCATAACCTTTATTATGAACGTATAATAAGATTTATCAGTAATTCCAGCCATAATATTGATCGATCTACTTACAGGAGTGACATCTAGGCTAGATCCGTGAGGAGTTTAAAGTGGATTTTCCAAACAGTATACTTTATATACAAAACAGATCCTACCTCCAAAGCAATCTTACCTGGTCATTCCTTATTTGACAGAAATAAGTATTTTTTGGGATTATTGAAGAATTCGGAAATAATTGATTTAACCTTATCAATACAAACGAATATTGAGATGTAGTAATATTCGTATTTAGGTAATTTAAAAGGGAAAAGCTGAAGCGTTAGTCGAGGAGCTAACTTTCCCGTGAATCTTCCACCTCAACCAGGTGAGTGTATGGTTACTTTCATGAACATGATTTTAATACAAGTGTTTATTAAATGTATTAGATATTAGTTGAAAGATTATATGTGAATTAAATGCTTATTGTCTGGAATATATGTTCAATGTATATTTGGTAATTAAAGGATCGTAACAAAATAGTAAATATCAAACAATGCAAAGAACAAAGAACGAAGTTAATCAAAAACCAATTTTGATTAAAGAAATCTCTCACACAGAGAGAATGCACAAAGCGTGTGTTATTTTTACATTGATTCCTAGTGTAACTTATATACAAGATATGGGACTATTGTAGATTCGAATCCCTATATATCAAGAATTTAAATAACTATGATAACTACCTTATCTAAAAGATATACACAATACAAAACATATCCTATCACTAAGATAACAGATCAGAAGCTTAATCACCAAGAAACTTATCACGCTGTCATGAAGCTTGATCAACGTCATATGTCGCTAATAATGTTATAAACATAATATAGATTTAAGTCATCAGATTATTAGGTTTGACCTTACAATCTCCCCTAATCTGATGATGTCAAAACTTTTTCAAAAATGTCTTCGACACAATCTTTTTCAGCATCCGAAATAATCTCTGGCTTGATCCACTCGAAACCATCACAAGCCAACTCATCTCTTCTTTTGTACAACTCATAGGAGACAATCCAGTGATAACGGTCAGCTTCTGGTTGTCCTTTACACTCCTGCCTCAGATGAAAGAGATGTTCATTAGGAGCATTGTGAAGATCAACAGATCGTTGAAAGCACATTTGATCATTATTATCAACATAGAACAATCCACGTTCCGGTTCTCTGATGAAAATATGTTGAATACCCATAACACCTGCTGGAAAAGTTTTGTTAATGTAGATAGTTCCATAGGGAAGTAAGAACCTTGAATGTTGGGATCTTTTTCCAGAACTAGAAGAGAATGAAGTAATAGGCATAGAGGATGCATCAGGAAGAGGAACCCAGTTGAGATTCCAAACTTTGTTGATTGATCATTAAGATAATGCAAAGATTTAACTCTTATGCATGAATACCCTTGTGATGTTTGATGATTGCTTGAATTTCTAGCCATTCACTATATCCATATTTAACAAGATCAAATACATGAATCGTTTTAGGGTATTCTCCTATATAATCTCTTCTGATTAGGTGCATAGTGACAATCCTTTCTCCTTTAGGTTTGGAACACTTAACTTTCACAATAGGATCTAGAGAGAATATTCTATGATGAACATTAACATATTTGGAATGATCAATCCTATTGAGAATATCTTTATCTTTCTTTTTCTTGTCAACCTCAGCATTAAAGTGTTTAATCGCAGTCATATGTTTAGCTAATAATTTATCAGTAGAAGCAACTTTTAGGGCTAATTTCCTGAGAAAAATGTTGTCTCGTGTAACAACATTTTTCTCAACAATAAAAGATCCAGCGTCTTCTTTAAATAGACCTTATTCAGCAAAAACCTTAGAAAGATTTGTGATATTGGGACCTTTTCTACGTTTAACAGGGTCAGAGGTCGAAGTTGAAGATTTGCGCTTTTTAGAGAGGGCCTGATCATCATCTGATTCTATGTCACTATTGAGATGTTACTCCCCCTAAGGCTAAGACTCCCCCTCAACCTGATAATCAAATGGGAAAACTACAGTAAGTGGAATAGCAACTTGAACAGCGTCACCAATAAAGCAAGTTCTAGAAATCCTTCTTCATCTTGATCAATGAATGTAGAAGCTTCACCATCATAATATGTAGATACATAATCAACTTGTAGATCAGATGCAGGTGGTTTTGAACTCTCCCTCTTTTTGACATTATTATAGGATACACCAGTAGCAACTAGAGGTGAGGGAGTAGGGGTTGGTTCTTTTGAAGTAGTTTCAACTACAGGAGTAGCATGAGAAGGTGGAGGAAGTAGTGTGGAACCAGTATTTTGAGGTTTTTGATTACTTAAGGGAGGAGGTGGTGGTTGAGGAGGTACACCTGATGATGGAGTAGTTAAGGAAGATGGAAAAACAACTCTCGTGATAGAAGCAACATCTTCTTTGATAGCAACAATATCTCTTTCCAATATATCTTGATGTTCAACAAAAATACTAGTTAACCCAATAAGTGTCCGAAGAGCAATAAGAACCTGGGTAGGAACATCAGGCTGATTAGGTTGATCATGATGAAACCCCCCCTCAGTTTGATCATGGGTCTGAGAGTTATGAGCAGATTGAGATTCACCAGCAATAGGACCAGGGAAGATTTCATTAGTTTCAAAGCCAAAATTATGTTAAGAGATAGTAGGGTAAACAAGTTCATCATGCTAAGCATATGAGGTGGATGACTGAAAGCGTATGTGAGTGTTTATTCTTGGTGGGGAATAAGCAACAACAGAGGGACCAGGTCATCTTAAAATAGGTCTCTTCACAGTAACTGATGAAGATCCAGTGTCCATCGCATCAAAATCATCTTCTGTAGAATCTTCCTCACCATCACTATCTTATTCTTATTCAGTATCCTTAGGTTCATAAAACACTTCATCAGGCTCTTCATCAGAAACATATAAGGAAGCCTGGACTCCTAATGAATTATAGGGACGAATAGTAGCTTCATATGGATTTAATATATAATTAGCCTTCCATTGAGTAACAGGAGGATCATCTAGAGTAAGAATGGCTTTGATCAACTTTCAAGACATGATGGATTTGGAAATATAATCATCAACATCACCATTGTAACCATATCCAATGTGAGCAAGAACTAGAGAGAGCCAACGAGGATAAGGAACATAAGAAGTCCTCTTTTTTCCTGAGATGGAGACAATAAGCTAATCAAATATAAGCTGAGCAAAGTCTAAATGCTTGCTCTTCCCCATGACATATAAAATACGCATCTCAAACAAGTTCAGCTGATCAAGACTCCCAGTTTTGTGCCCTAGGCACTTGCCAATAACACCAGTCAGATACTTTCATCCAACAAGAAGACATTGATGCAAAATCAACCCGGTGCATTTTCCTTTCTTTGAAGAATCATAACCCTGATTGATAATGGCTATCATGTATTGTTTCTCAAAAGGAGAGACTAAAAAATTAACAAAGTTGGGAAGACGAAGAGTATCCCTAAGAATTGAGACATAGAGACAAATTGCATGTAGGCCATCTCCAATGGTTCCTTGAATGATATCAGGATGATCACTATAGGTGCAAGTATAGTCGAACTCAAAGATATTATAGGGCAAGAGTAAATTAGCAGTGTCAACAAGTATGTATCTCAGCAGATGACTTTTCAAGAACTCAACAAAGAATTCTAGTCCTCTATTCTTGTTTTTGATGGGAATAACATCAGAGAATGCAACATTGGTGGATTTGATCATAATGGGAGTTGTTGGTGTGTTGCGAGATTTGCGAATGTCATTAGTTGGAGCGTAGACAAGAAGTGGTGAAGACATGATTGTAGGCTAGAGTTTTTCATAGGGTTTTGCTGATAGAGAAATCTTTGGGAGATGATGATCGTAAACCCTTGAATAGGAAATTATTTTCCTTTTATAGTGTATGGAAGGATAATATATGACGTAATCAACAATCATTCAAAATAAAGATTCACCGTAATTTTCGAATCCCACTAACCGACTCTTCCATGTTAATCCAAAAGTCACCCTTTCCCAACGTTTATGAGAACACGCTATAGAGACTTTTGAGGCATAATCAGTGAGAACACATATACACAGGTGAATAAGGTGGGATAAAAAGAATGTTTCAATCGCTGTATGGTGTAACACAGGATATCTTCAACATATGATGGTTTCATGCTCACACAGTGTATGTTTTATTACAATGGTTATTAGACATCGGTTTGTTATTTTATGCCTCACACGCTGTATGGGATTATATAACGTGATCCTAGACACTTGGTTGCTGAAAATCCCTTAATTTATGGTTTATTACAGAAATTCTTTGACATCAGCATTTAGAATGTTTTACTCACTATAAGTGTCATAGTAAGATCATTAACATGGGGGAGAGATGTTTCATTAACTATTGGTTTGACAGCCAATCACTAACATCAAGGAAGATGACAGTAAGATCTAGGAAAGAAGATTCCTCCATTAATCAGATGATGGAACAATATCATACCTCAACATGAGAGATCATGGACATAAGTTACCTTTTGTTTTTCAAGGACTAGACAACTAACTCTTGCGTTGATGACATTGTAATCAGGGCAAGCCTCAGGGTAATGTAAAGTGATACAACAGAACACTTGACTTGATACATACTACAACATGTTTCTAGGGACAGGGTCAGGAGAAAAGACAATATTTAAAGAAAACAACCAAGCCTTATGACAAGAGTTTCTTGAGAATGACCAAGCAATCTCACTAATAAAAATAAATCAATGCATATTGTTCAGGGTGAGTGGGTGACTCAATGACATCTCAGCAGATGGTCTCCCCGATGAGATACTTAGAGAGATTTAGCCACATTCACAATAATGCTTCTAGGGACATTTTAAGTTCAAGTTTCATGCTAGAATAAGATATTATTTGTCAATTCTTTAGTAAGGTACAAAACAAAAATAAAAATAAAAATAAAATGAGTTAGTCAAAGAGGAAACCATTAAAAAGAGGAACATGCAGCTTTTTCAGTAAGACCATAATCGTTCGGATTTTGCATATCTTTCAAATTAATGCTCATTATAGTATTTCCCCCTTTTCAAGATATCTGACTTTTAAAATCTGTTTATAACAAGGAGACATGTTAGAGAACATTTCACATACTCAACCTCATATATTTCTTTTTAAACGAGAGAAGAATTACCCTATTTCTTTGAAGAGAACATCATTCTCATGGATAGAAAACTTCAAGTTCATCACCATGAAAAAAAGGCTCAGAAGAACACAATCTTTGTAACCATCGAGTTAAAGGTATGTAATCTTTGTAACCTTCGAGTTACGCAAATCAACAAGCGGATAATCAAAAGGAAAAAATGATTATGAACCATGAGATAAGAGACAAGAACCATTATGAAAATAATGGATACTTGAATATCTAATGGAAGACGGTGAAGAAGTGTGTAGCTTCTATGGAAATTAGACGTGCCTCCCACATTATATTCACCTGAATCCATAGAAATAGGTGATGGGTTATGAAGAGGCAATAAGATCACTCATAAGAGATGTCTAGATGCCAGTTCTTCCTTATCGTGTGTCGACAGTAAGATGCTCAATGCTGAACTTACCAAAAATCACCCTCAAACTGAAAGTTGCACCCGCTGATGTGAAGATGCAGTGTCATCTGAGGTCAGTCATGAAACCAAGCTCAATGATAAGAAATGCAGATGAGAAAGTCGCAGAGAAAGCTTTGAAGAAGATAAATGCATGATCCTGAACCTTGTGCTTGAGAGGAAAAATACAAAAGGGTTTAAGCATTAGAAGATATTAGGAAACAATGTATACTCCTTTAGTAAGAAAAATGTAAAATAAATAAGTAATAAAAATATTTTTGTGTTTTAGATTTTATGAAAAACAAAGGACATAAAACTTGTTTTTGCAATGAGCATAAATTAAAAATATAGAAGTTTGAAATCACACTAGCAAAGTACACAAAACTAGAAGAAACAAAACTCTTAAGACGTGGATATCATGCCCAATTCACCAATAAGAAAGATAATATTTTGTACATTTTATGGCTTGGTGAATGTATCAACGAGTTGGTTATCAGTGGGAATATACATCAGCTCAATCTTTCCTTTTTGAACGTTATCCCTGTTAAAGTGGTGCCTGATCTCAATATGATTGGTATTGGAGTGTTGGATAGGATTTTTGAGTGATTAGAATAGCACTTCTATAATCACAACATTTGGAGTCTTCAAAATTTTGAAACCATAGTCAAGAAGCTGATTCTGAATCCAAAGAATTTGGGGACAACATCTACACTAGCAACATACTCAACTTCCGCGGTTGAACAAGCTACAAATGATTGTTTCTTGTTGGATCAACTTATCAATCTATTCCCCAAGAGCTGACAACCACCAAATGTACGTTTACGGTCTAGGAAACAACATGTATAGTTAGAATTAGAAAATCCAACTAATTTGACATCAGGATTACGAGGATACCAAATACCAAGATTTGAAGTGTGCTTTAGATATCGAAAAATACACTTTACAGCAAGAAGATGTGACTCCTTTTGTTTTTCTTGAAAATAAGCACACATCGGTGACTAGTTGTAAGATAGAGCAGTGAACCAATCATTCCTCTATACAAAGTGGAATTAACATCAGTGTCATCTGAATCAACATAAATCTTTAAGGAAGTTAACTTTGGAGTCTTTACAATTAGTAAATGAAATTTTTTCAACATATCAGTAACATATTTACCCTGACAAATAAATATTCCACTGGACATCTTCTTAAATTGAAGACCTAAGAAAAAGATCATTTCACCCATCATGCTCATCTCAAATTTCTTGGACATAACATCAGCAAACTCCTTGCTCAAATCTTCATTTGTAGATCCAAAAATAATATCATCGACATATACTTGAGCGAGAATGAGATCTGTTCCTGATTCATTTATGAAAAGGGTATTATCAATAGCTCCTCTATTGTACCTATTTTGAAGAAGATATAACTGAAGGGTTTTGAGCATTCTAACACTCCTAAGGTGTACATGCAACCCTAGAAACCTTGGATTATGTTTTACTAAGATACATGCAAATTTGATTTTCCAAGGTTCTTAACCTAACTAGCATGGCATGGGGAACTTTGAAACATAAAAGCTAGTAGGAGAACATACCTTTCTTATTGATTGGATTCCTTGAGAACCTTGTGAGCCTAGCACCTCAAGTGTGATGCCTCAAATGTTTCACACAACACCACAACTCTTGGAATAACTTTGAGAGAAGTCCACACTCACTCAAAATCGGCTAGCCCTCTTGTTCTACACATAGTGCCGATTTTGGTAGCCCATGGGGTCCTTTTATAGTTGTGTCACAAGTAGGGTTACACCATGTAAACCCTAATTGACATGACTTTTCATATTCCATGATCCATGGGTTTTAGCCTCCATGGAGCATCCACGGAGCACCTTATGGATTTAGCCCAATCCAATAAACCATGGATCATTAGCCCACTATAAAAGAAGGGATGATTTACACAATCAACCCCATATATTTAATTAGTCTCCTTTTTGATCACCAAATTAATTCTAAATTAATTCTTGATCAAAAACTAATTAAATAATATTATTAATATATTAGAACTTGTAATATATTAATAAACCATAAGTGTCCTTTCTCTCATTTAGTCTATCCAAGTGTTGCAATGCCATGCAACCCCAATGGACCATGCCAACCGAGTCAAGTACATTCCAGAAATAGTTATGAACTTAGACACCTAATCCAACAGTCTCCCACTTGGATAAGTCTAATAACTATAACTGCAAGAATGACTTCAGGAACCGATTAGCAATCGTAGCTCTTTCAAAGTATCGCGGAACTGAGATGATGATGATACGCCATTTAAGATAAGTGATCATATAATCCTTTGTTCTAGATATCAGCCGGACAAATACATGGAACAATGTCTTACTTATTGTCCAGCAGTTTGTTTCCCGATTTCCGATTTGTTTGACATAGAACTTAATCGAACACATCAATTTAGTTCTGACCAAGCCCGGTACATAGGTCACAACAAAATCATCGAGGGGCCCAAATATCGCTTCTAATCCAAGAAGGAACAGATAAACTTCGACTCATATGCTTGTTCTACTACTTGTTGAATTATACACAAAGGCACGTTTTAAACATCGAGTTAGCAATGCGTTTTCGTACAATCAATGTATAACCAACTCATAGTCAATAACTCATATCTCTAGGTTTGAAGACTTATATGATATTACCGTCTCACGATCACTCGAGATAAATTCCATGAAGTGATACAAGCGAGCGTGGGTTGAATCCAATACTCATAACTTATGAGCACTCATGAACGTTGTAGCAACCCTTGCTATGTCCAACACTTTAGACATCTACAAGCAAGCTTCATGACAGTGTTGATTCATATCTACTTCCAACATATGACCGACTGCGGAGAATTTGAATAATATGATGTACCATAACATAATTATTCTGGAAGTCAAAACATGTAAAATGAAATGATAGTAAACGATTGACAAAAGATAGCAACACTTTACTTATAAATAAACAAAAAATTTTGTTTATCATCAAATGTCAATTACGCTTTACAAATTTCAAAGCTATCTAATTTCTAAAACTAATATCATCCTTTAGCACTATGAGCCTCGCATGCTGAAGATGCTTAACCCTACCCACTCCCTTCGTGAGGGGATCTGCTGGGTTCTCATCCGATGATACCATCTTTGCCACAAGGAGTCCTTCTTCTATTCAATGTCTGATGAAATGGTATTTTCTGTCAATGTGTCTGGAT